TGAATCTGAGCATGTAACTGTGGATATTGAGTCTGAGGAAGTTATGGCAGTAATGAGTCCCTCACTTGAACAAACTGGGCAGGAACTGTCACAGCCAACAAGTTGCACAGGAACAATAGACATGCCTCAGGAGAACCCTGCAAGAAAAGTCAAGCAGAGAAAAGTTCCAAAGAATAATTTTTTTATGTTGATTATGTGAAACTACTCTGAGAGAGAGAGAGAGAGAGAGAGAGAGAGATGCTGTATATATGTAAATAGTTCAGTTTATATAATCTGAATTTTTTTATTATATTTCTATTTGAGATGGGTTATCAAGTTTCACCATTTTAGGCCTCATTGGGATGATGGACAAAGCTGAGATTTGAGGTGGTGACATTATGAGTTGAGCTAAAACCTCTTTAAACTGATGGGTGAATGAGTCTTCCATTTAAATCAGTTGTAAGAGAAGTTAAGTGGGCCACATAATAAACAAATCCTAATAGAATGAGCTCAGAAGTAGCACCAAGTGGGTGGATATTGGACTGGGTATAGTGAGCAGACTGAAGTGCTGAGTAGGAGAACCCCCAGAAACACAGAACAGGGTAAGGCAAGACAGCCAAGCCTGTAAGCCAGTGGTGGGCAACCCGTGGCCTATCAGGGTAATCTGATTGTGGGCTATGAGACAATTTGATGAAGTTGGCCATCCACAGGCATTTCTCCCCCCCACCCTCCACAACTCCCAAATGGTTGCAGTTCACAATTTCTGGCCAATGGGAGCTGCGGGAAGCAGCTGCCTCCTGCAGCTCCCATTGGCCAGGAATCACAAACTGCAGCCACTGGGAGCTGCGGGTGTGTGTGATGTTATTGGATTCTGATATGAACGTGCAAAACATTGTTGTAACTACTATTATGTTTGCACCAAATGTTGTGCAAAATGAGATGGCTATAGAAGGCTTATGATTCACTGATTCTATGTATACCGCTCATATGCATGTATGATTTTTGTATTTGAAACTATGAGAATTGGCTATAAACTTGTATTTCACAGGTTTGCTTCTGGGAAATTATCAACAGGCTTTGCCCACCTTGTGAAAGAGTTGCTAGTTAAATGAATAGCAGTTCTTCACGGACAATGCACCTCAAGTGATACCAATCCACATCTGAGGAACTTTGCGATGAACATTCAGACCAGCATGTAAGCCATGGCTGCTTGCTGAAAAGGACTGAGCCATGCATAGATGGGTGACTTGCTCATGTGACAAACTCCTTTTTGGGAGATACTTTCTCAAAAGAAGAACAATGGAATTCCCTCCACATGAACAAGGGTATAAAGAGGGCCCTAGGGTTTCCTCTATCCTTGTCTTCATTCCAGCTTGTCATGTCTGAAGCATTTTTGCTATGAATTGAGCTCGAAAGGATTGATGACACATCCTGTGTTAGGATGGATTTCAGAGACTTATAAAACAACAGATTAATCCATCTCTGCTACAAGCCTGCACAAAGGACTATGCATTGGTGTAATTAGATTCCTTTTACAATTTTTCACTCAACCTTTTCTTTCTTTCTTTCTTTCGTTTACTAATACACCTTTAGATTTTAGATTCTAAAGGAGTGGCACAGCATGCTCTTTTGGGTAAGATCAGAAATATAAAATCGACCTGGGAATGTGGCTGGTCCTTTGGGATTGGAAGAACCTGTTCTGATTTGGTGAGATTGGCTTTCATAACCTCTCTTCTCTGTAAGGAGTGGTACTGGTTGTGGCACAGAAGCTGGAGTGTCTTAGGGGGCTGCTTGTGTGATTTCTTGCTGGCCAGTGTGGCAAGCTGGTTTGGTGCCTCATAGTGGAGGACCCGTAGTTTTAGGCTGTAAGTAGCCCTGTCTTTAAGCAATTTGCCCTGATTTGACACTCTCAGCGGTGCTCTCAGAAACCTTGTTATATTAGAGGAGGTAATGCCTCTGGATGGTCAATATCAGCAAAATGTCTGGCAGCCCACAATCAGATTATCCTGATGCACTGCAAGTGGCCTGCAGGTTTCTCACCACAACTGTAAACACAGTACGACCCTGGAAAAAGTTACAGAGCCCTTTTGGACTTCATAGAATCCTAGAACTGGAAGGGACCTCAAGAGGTCATTAAGTCCAGACCCTTGCACTCACGGCAGGTCCAAGCACTGTCTAGATCAGTGGTCTCCAACCTTTCTACACCCAAGATGACTTTTTAAATGTCAGGACAAGCCAAGATCTACCCCACCCCTTCCCCAAGACCCCACCCCTTCTTTGAAGCCCTGTCCTCTCTGTTCTCCACTTCTCCATCACTTGCTATCCCCAGCTCTTACTTACTCTCACTGAGTTGAAACCGGAGGTGTGGGCTCTGGGGTGGGAATGAGGCATTTGCATGTGGGAAGAGGTGAGTGGTGCAAACTCTGGGAGGAAATTTGGGTGCAGGAGGAGGTGGAGAAGGGGATGCTGGCTTGGGGAGGGGGTTCCAGATTGGGGAGTGTTGGGGTCAGGTAGAGGGTTGGGGTATGCTGAGCAAGCCACAGGCTTGTGGATGTGAGGGTGCAGGAGTTTGGATTGGGGTGTGTGAAGGGCTCAGGGCAGGGAGGTTAGGAGTATGATGGGCTCAGGATACAGATTTGTGGTGTGTGGAGGGTGCAGAAGTGTTGTGGCTGAAGACTGAGGATGTGGGGGTGCAGGAGTTTGGGAATGTGAGAGGCTCAGGACAGGGGGTTCCAGGGAATGATAGGCTCAGGTTTAGGGTCCGGGGTATGTGTGCAGGACTGTGGACAAGGCCTTTTTAACTTCATTGAATGAGTCAGCCTGCAGCAGAGTCTCCCTGGGTGTGCTAGAATTAAGTTTAGAATATAATCACTAGTTCTTATGGACAGTCTATTTTTTTTTTGTTTTTCTTTATGTTAAAAATGTTGCTTGTAGGCTTTATTTACTACACTTTTCTGTTGCTCAGGAAGCTAAGTATTTTCATCAGTTACATTTTACCTATGGTCAAGCTTTGCAAAAACACACACCTAAGCATATAAAGAAACCTGATCTGATTTTGAACGCAAGTTCAAATTCAATGGCAATTCAAAGTGCTATGCACTATTGAAAATTAGGCCAAATTTAAGGTCCAAAGCATGTTAGGGATTCTCACTGTGTTACAGCATTTTAAGTGTAGTAATAGCTTCCAACAGTAATCTTATAACTAAAAACATTTTTTCTCTCGTTTGCAGAATGAATAATACCCATTTAAATCTCTTATTGATTTTTATTATGAAACACAAGCTGTATAGGAGCAAGCTGAGGGTGGGTGTCTGGCCAGGAGGGAAGGGACAGGAGCAAGGTGCTGGTGGGGGTCTGCCCAGGGGTCAGGGTGCTGATGGGAGCCTGGCCATGGGGCAAGGGCAAGGTGATGGTGGGGGTTTGCTCAGTGTGCAGGAGCAGAGTGCTGATGGGGGTCTGGCCAAGGGTCAGGTGCTGGTGGGGGTTTGGGCAGGAGGCAGAGTGCTGGTGACGGCTGGGGTGGGGTACTCATGCGGGTAGTCTGGCCAGGGGGAGGGGACAGGGACATCTCAGGCTGGTACCTGGGGATCCTGCAGCTGTACGCCAGGTCCGGGTCTCAGGAAGAAACGTGGACTGCTCTTCCCCTCCCCTGATCAGTTGGAGCTGGCTCAGTCTCGGGACCCCTACTCCCCGCCGCCCACACAGGAAGGCATCAGGGGGAAGATGCTGGCGCGCAACAGACCCAGTATTTCAGGAAGCACGCCAGCTGTTTGGGGGAGGGCTACAGCAGCCCGCATGCTTCTTGTGGTGCTGGACCTGGCATGCAGCTGTTGGACTTCTCCCCTCATTTTGCAGGAAACCGGCGCTACCTCCATTGTCGCTGGAGGTAGCGTCAGTAGGGGCTGCTCCTTGGGCATTGGGGGAACTGGAGAGGGGGCCCAAACGCCTAGCAATTGACTGGTCGTGCCCTCCCCCTGATCGACCAGTTGATCGTGATCGATGGGTCTAGATCATCCCTGACAGGTGTCTGTCTAACCTGCTCTTTAATATCTCCAGTGATGGAGATTCCACAAGCCCTGTAGGCAATTTTACTCCAGTGTTTAACCACCGTGACAGGCAGGAAGTTTCCCCTGAACTTAAACCTCCCTTGCTGCAATTTAAGCCCATTGTTTCTTGTCCTAACCTCAGAAGCCAAGGAGAACAATTTTTCTCCCTCCTCCTTATAACACCCTTTTAGATACTTGATGCTTAATGACTTGATGCTAGCCAAAGACATTTGGTAAGCTAAGAAATTCTTCCTTTTATTTGTGGTTCCTACTGCATTCAGAGACACATGATTTTGTACATTCCTTGTAAATACATAGAGTTGGTCCAAAGAAATACCTGACTACCACCAAGTTCTACTCCCAGCTAGAACATCCACATAGCTCCAAACTTTGATTAGCTACTTGGATCAAAAGGGGCAACAGTTCCGCATGAAACTGGAAAAAGCCTTCAACTTTCTTTCACAAGCAGGACATTACATAAAATCTTTCTAAAACCATTTTTGGCACCTGTGTACTCATCACTGGCAGACAGTGTTAGAAAATGCTTACTGCATATTCAGAGTTGTATGGAAATCTCACTCAGAAATTTGTTTCCATTATTTACTACATCACTCAGTTCATCTCAATTTGTAGAAGTTATTTTGAGTGATTTACTCAAGCATATTTGCATTGATTACATAGAAGTTTTAGATCTTTGTCTAAGTCGGTCCAAATACAGTTGGTTCATCTTTAGCTTCCTGCTACAATCCTCATCACAAAAGCTATAAAGTACCTTACTACTTACAGAAAAAAAACAACAACAAATGGTCTGGTAGCACTTTATAGACTAACAAAACATGGAGATGGTATCATGAGCTTTCATAGGCACAGTGATACCAGCTACATGTTTTGTTAATCTATAAAGTGTTACCCGACCATTTCTTGGTTTTTTTCTGTAACCGACTAACTCGGCTACCCCTGAAGCTTACTACTTACAGTTAGTATTGTCCTGGGTCTTCCTTTCCAAGTAAATGGGAGGATGAAAACTCTTCTGGGATATTTATTACCCCCAGGATATCAGGCATCCTTACACCAGCATATTGATGTTTTCAGCTGTGAGCAGGTCCTTTATATTGCTCCATAATTTCAAAAGAGAAATACTTCCCAGTAGTTGGAGTCTGGGCTGGATGCCAGGGCAGGTGGGGCTGGTTTCACTTCCCTCCCAGAATTAGGGCAAGTGGCTTCCTTCTGTCAGTCTCTCTCTCACTGAATCAAGGTTTTAGCTTATGTGGAAGCACTGTTGAGAGCCACAGGGAGCATGAATATAGCATCTGATTTTTATATTAGAGTTCACGTGCAGAGAAAGCTGTCTCTCACGTGGGTGTATCTGAATGAGGTAGATTTATGAAAAATAAAATAAAGGGAATTTTAAATTCCTCTGAAATACATACAGGAAAGCCTGATTTAAAAAAGTAAGAAAAAGTATTTTAAAATGAATCATTCATAGAATATAACTTTTTCCCAACTGAATGAGACTTTTTTTTGGTTTAATCCAATCTAACAGACACAGAAAAGCTGGGAATTTAGATTTGCAGCACTGTTTTGCATGTAGTTGATACACAGTGAAGAATGAATGAGCTGGCAGTAGCTGGTTTAAAAACGTCCCTCAGATCTTTATAGATCAACACTTATTACTGCAAATGCCTTAACATTTTCATTTTGACTTTTCCAGTCCCAGATCCAAATACTGAAAATGTTTACATAGGTGCTTAAATTTAAGCACACAAGTTGTCCTGTTGATTCAATGATTATACATGCTTAGGTGGCTGCAGGATTGGGGCCTTTGTGCACCGTGACAAAACAGCCTATGCTGGTGTGGGGGGTCCCATGCTTGTCTTGATTGGGGGAGGGGGGAGACTAGGACAACACCCCTTACCCCCTGCTCTTGGGGCACCACGGACCCCACTAATGATGCAGGAAGATAGTAGAGAAGGGAAGCAGGAAAGAGATCTGGGCCTCAGACTCTCTCAACTACTGCAGGTTTTTTACCCTCTTCCCCTCTGGGTAGGGTTACCCTTGATCCTTGATACTGGGGGAGACAGATCCTATCCCAGCAGAGCAAGGAGACTCAGTTTTCTCTCTTTCCTAGGGCTTATGTATCTCTCCTCTAGCTCTCTCCCATTGCGCCCTGACCCTGCTGTAGCACAGCCCATAGAATCAGTGAAGTGCAGCCAAAAACTGGCACATGACACACGAGAAAAAGAAAATGTTCTTAAATTCAGACTATATACTTTCTCATTAGGGCATGATTATATGATTGTATGAAATTTTTTTCTGGGGATTTTAAAGCGCTTTTTCAGATATTAAGGATCAAAGCATTCTTTTTGAGGTCAGTGGCACTATCCCCATTTTCCAAAAAGTTAAACTGAGACCAAGATGACTTTAATTCCTTTACAAAACCTGCCCAAGATTGCAGTCTGAGAGAGAGCAGGATATTTAACCAAGGAATTCTGTACCCAAGAACATCTGTTCTTTTCAATTTAAGTCCAAATAGAGCCAACAGTGGACAAAGAGAGCTCTGAAATTTTCATATATTAATTTGAGTGAGAGTTTCTGGAGACATTTGTGAAACTTGTGCTGCTGGGGTGTCTAAGGTGAGAGGGTGACTGCATAATCAGATTTATAGTCACCGTCCTGTGAGGATGATGTACAGATAAACAAGGCGAGGTTTGTCTTTCAGGTGATGCTACAGCTGTAGCATCTGCCAGGTGTGTGGTTTAGCTATCACAGATTTGGGGCAAAGGTTGGGGAGGGTGCATCTATACAATGACTTTGTTTTTTATGAGACTGGGATGTGATTAATTCATCACCCAAGTCAGCCTGAGCTGGCTTTAGGTGTCTGGCCATGCAGGCCTGTGGACAAGGCCTTTTTAACTTCATTGAATGAGTCAGCCTGCAGCAGAGTCTCCCTGGGTGTGCTAGAATTAAGTTTAGAATATAATCACTAGTTCTTATGGACAGTCTATTTTTTTTTTGTTTTTCTTTATGTTAAAAATGTTGCTTGTAGGCTTTATTTACTACACTTTTCTGTTGCTCAGGAAGCTAAGTATTTTCATCAGTTACATTTTACCTATGGTCAAGCTTTGCAAAAACACACACCTAAGCATATAAAGAAACCTGATCTGATTTTGAACGCAAGTTCAAATTCAATGGCAATTCAAAGTGCTATGCACTATTGAAAATTAGGCCAAATTTAAGGTCCAAAGCATGTTAGGGATTCTCACTGTGTTACAGCATTTTAAGTGTAGTAATAGCTTCCAACAGTAATCTTATAACTAAAAACATTTTTTCTCTCGTTTGCAGAATGAATAATACCCATTTAAATCTCTTATTGATTTTTATTATGAAACACAAGCTGTATAGGAGCAAGCTGAGGGTGGGTGTCTGGCCAGGAGGGAAGGGACAGGAGCAAGGTGCTGGTGGGGGTCTGCCCAGGGGTCAGGGTGCTGATGGGAGCCTGGCCATGGGGCAAGGGCAAGGTGATGGTGGGGGTTTGCTCAGTGTGCAGGAGCAGAGTGCTGATGGGGGTCTGGCCAAGGGTCAGGTGCTGGTGGGGGTTTGGGCAGGAGGCAGAGTGCTGGTGACGGCTGGGGTGGGGTACTCATGCAGGTAGTCTGGCCAGGGGGAGGGGACAGGGACATCTCAGGCTGGTACCTGGGGATCCTGCAGCTGTACGCCAGGTCCGGGTCTCAGGAAGAAACGTGGACTGCTCTTCCCCTCCCCTGATCAGTTGGAGCTGGCTCAGTCTCGGGACCCCTACTCCCCGCCGCCCACACAGGAAGGCATCAGGGGGAAGATGCTGGCGCGCAACAGACCCAGTATTTCAGGAAGCACGCCAGCTGTTTGGGGGAGGGGCTACAGCAGCCCGCATGCTTCTTGTGGTGCTGGACCTGGCATGCAGCTGTTGGACTTCTCCCCTCATTTTGCAGGAAACCGGCGCTACCTCCATTGTCGCTGGAGGTAGCGTCAGTAGGGGCTGCTCCTTGGGCATTGGGGGAACTGGAGAGGGGGCCCAAACGCCTAGCAATTGACTGGTCGTGCCCTCCCCCTGATCGACCAGTTGATCGTGATCGAT